CCCCAAAACCCCAAAACCCCAAAACCCCAAAACCCCAACTTGTCTAATCCCTGAAGAATTTATTATAATAGAATATGGATAAAGAAATACAGAATGCAGGGATTAAGAGGAAGAGAAATAAGAAATTGACTGAAGAGGAGAAACTTGTCAGGAAGCGGGAAAGAAATAGACTGAAAATGAAGAGGTATAGAGATAGAGTAAAAGAAAAACATAAGAATAGAGATGAGGAAATAGATAACCTCAAATCTCAGATAGAAGCTTTGACCAATGAGAATGAAGAGCTTAAAGCCAAGATCACAATCCTTAATGCTGAGAGTGTGTCGGCTAATTGTGTAAGTAGAGGAAAAATGACTTATAGATTGGGCCAAACTTATTCAAAGGTGGCAAACAATCAGCATTTGAGAAAATAGAAAGTGCAAAGGATACTTCTGTGTTAAGTCATCCACATTTAAGCACTAAGAGAAATGAAAGTAAGCTTATGAGTTTGTAAGTTTTAGAACAATCATCAGTAGAGAACATATTTAAAAGAGAATATCGCTTTTGGAAAGATACTCTTCCAGAACTTATTGATAAGAATCCTGATAAAATCAATTACTCTCTGATCCATCAGAATAGAGACATCGCAGATGCTAACGGAGCTGCAAGACTATCATATTTGAAGAGTCAGTTTAAGAATATAGGTATGCCCAATATTTTATATTTCTAATTGAAATAGTCCAGAATGCGTTACCCTTTGGTGCACTTGCGACTCTCTTTAATTTCGACTCATTTGAGTTTTCTGAGTGGTCCAAATACAAAGAAGAATGAGAAAAGCCCAACCCAGATTTTTCAGGAATCAAAATTCCTCCTGGGTTTAAAAATCAAAACATTTCAAAGGAAGCAGTAGATTTCCTCAGAAAGCATGGTAAAGAGCATGTTGCCATTCTGCGCGACATCAGAGTCTTAGTGCAATCTTTAGTAACTAGCTTTCTAATAAAATAGGTGAAGATTAGGAACAGGTTATTGATCAAGTTCCAAGAGTTCATTGACTCTTTCGACAATTCTGAGTAAGGCCAATAAATAATTGTATAGTTACAGGTATGGAAAAGTCGACCACGTTGCTGTAAAAAAGAAGTGGGAAGACTACAGACAGAAAGGAGTTGACCTGTTCAGTAAGTATTCTCCAAATAGTATCCTTTCATTTGACAGGAAAGTTTTAATACATTCATGAATTATTAAGTTGTCTTATTATTTTATTAGCAATCATGAGAATAAAGAAGAAAGACCCAGATGCTGAGTACAGATCAGAAGTAGAAATGACAGAGTTTGATGATGAAGATTCACCATTGAATCTCGATGATTAATTTTAGATGGATAATCACTACAGAGTCTTTCCAATATGTTCTTGAGTAATTTGCACCGTTTTATTCTTTACATGAGATATTATAAATCATCAATTGCATTTCTATACAAGTTTATAAGAGATTTTATCAGAGTGCTTATTTCAACTTCTTGATATAATCCTGGGGTTTTGGGGTTTTGGGGTTTTGGGG